TTTCTCAAAATATCTTCTTTTATGTTCCACAGAAGAAAGAAATTCATACAGGTTTGGAATGACATGATGCTGAGTAGCCTAAATGATGACAGTTTTAATTTTGGGGTGAACTGTCCCTTTAAGAACTTTATAATATTTGTAAATGGAAAACACCTCCTTTATAAGTGTCTCTAAATTACAGAGACACTGGTTTTTATCTTTAATCAGGCTCTTACTGAATTAACATTTTACTTAAATTAAAATTAATTAGAATGAAACATTTAAATATCAATAAGCTATTAAAGTTTGTTTACATTGCAGTTTGTTTACATGCATTTTACCTTGTCGTGGCTGTTTTCAGGCAGAACCTTTAATGTTGTCATATCACACAACTGTGTAACACAATTCTGTGTCATTTCTGAATGGATGGAGCGATTTGTGCTGTTTATCTCTTATAAATCGTGGCGGAAGCGCAGCGCTGTGCGGGAGACTGATGCACCTGGTAGCGCCACTTCACGAGTACTTGGCTTGCTTTTTGCAGTTTCGTGTGGGCTGTAATTTAAAAACAGCGCCTAATATGAGGTCTCCCTCGCTTCGGCGATCGGCCCACCGGGAATGTCCCGCTGCTCCCGATGGCCAGTAGCTACATCGCTGGTTATGTTCAAGTAAGCTAGATATGCCCAGATGCTGCGCAATTAGGCTTATTTAATATATCATGATGAGTCTCGAGTTCAGTATTTACACTAAATCTGCGCAGATTTGGCTTACATGAACTTCCTCAAGAAATTAATTAGTAAACATAATTTACGAAAAGTAACCCGCCAAATTGGCTAGTGATTTGACAGCGTTACCCGCCACAGCTGATTTTTACCCGCATTTGGCGGGTTGGCGGGTGTTAATTTCAAACCCTGCTGGCAACTGAATAGCAATGTTCTAAAAACCATTTAGAACACCTTAGCAACTACCAGAAACCCCTATCAACTGCATAGTAACGTTCTAAAATCATTTACACCACCTTAACAAGTGCATATAGCAATACTTTGGCAACCACCCAGAAACCCATAGCAAACACATAACAGTGGCATAGTAATGCTTTAAAAACTATTTATAACACCTTATGAAGTGCATAGCAACACCTTGGCAACCACCACTGACAACATCATCATAATGCTCTAAAAACCATTTAGAATGGCTTCGTAAGTGCATAGCAACACCTTGACAACCACCACTGACAGCGGCATAATAATGCCCTAAAAACCATTTAGAATGACTTAGCAAGTGCATTGCAACTCCCTGGCAACCACCAGAAACCCATAGCAACGCTAAAAACCATTTAGAGCACCTTAACAAGTGCATAGCAACACCTTGGCAAACACCTCTGACAACAGCATAGTAATGCTCTAAAAACTAGTTAGAACACCTTTGTAAGTGCATAGCAACTCCCTGGCAACCACCAGAAACCTATAGCAACACTAAAAACCATTTAGAGCACCTCAACAAGTGCATAGCAACTCCTTTACAATCACCCCTGACAGTGGCATAGTAATGCTTTAAAAACTATTTATACCGCCTTATGAAGTGCATAGCAACACCTTGGCAACCACCACTGACAACATCATCATAATGCTCTAAAAACCATTTAGAATGGCTTCGTAAGTGCACAGCAACACATTGGCAACCACCACTGACAGCGGCATAGTAATGCTCTAAAAACCATTTAGAACGACTTCGTAAGTGCATAGCAATACCTTGGCAACCACTCCCGACAATGGCATAATAATGCTTTAAAAACCAGTTAGAATGCCTTAGCAAGTGCATAGCAACACCTTGACAACCACCCCGACAACTGCATATTAATGCTCTAAAAGCCATTTAGCAAGTGATTAGCAACACTAAACTGTTGATTCTGTCACCAAATCAGTAATTCAGAGGCAGAAAATGGTATTACATTTTGATAAAAGATTTAAATCATGTGCACCGATGAATTAGGCACAATAAGACAAATAGCATTTATAAAGAAAATAAATAGAGTTGATTTCACATGGACTTGAAGTAGGATTTATGAGTGCTGTCTCAATGCAGACCCAGCCGTTCCATCATTTAGATATATTTACTCTTCTTACATCTTCATTCTTTATTAATGTCAGGCAAAACAGCTGATTTAATGTGATTTTGATGCATTGAATCAGTGATGACATTGAGAGCAGGAGGTGACGGCCCCTGCGGGTGGGCCGTGGAGACCCCTAGCGTGTGTCCGCTGAAGCTGAAGGGTGACCCTGGCTTACTGAAGCTTTAAGTGAAAGAGAGAAGAGGGCTGGGGTCAATAGAGACACCATGGAGTGCAGAGAGAGAAGAGAAAATGGGTTTTTAATTGGCCTGGGAGTTCTCGAGCTCAGCTCTCTTTACGCACAGAGAGAGCGAATATATCATCAACCTCTGATTGATTGCGTTTAGCTCAACCATTGTGCCACATGGATTTAGAAAGTCCAGTGAAAACGCGAAGACTGAACACAGAACTGTAAAACGCTTCCTGGAGACTCAGCGGCCTGTTCGCACCAGCCGTTATGATCCCTGAACTACAGAGGGATGTATTATTTCTAGTTGAAGAGGGAGTGAAGTGGCTGTTTTTAATAAATGGCAGCTAAATGTGCAGCAGCTGTTGTAAATAGTGAAATTTTTATGGGGTGATGTGTTGTGAATGAATGTTGGGTGTGCAGAAAAATCTGCGTTGAAAATGCATGCTTTTTGGTCCAAGTAATGTACTGTATTGAGTTTTTTCCCCCCCTAAATGTAAAAAAAGTGCTTCCTTGTGCATGGATCAGATATATTTTTAAATTATAATTTAATTTGAACTTTAATATTTTGCATATATTATTAATATAATTAATAATACATTTAATATTAATATAATTTAATATATTAATTGTATGAAATTAACTGTTATTAATATTAAACTAATTAACTAATAAGAGCCCACTTGGATGTCAAGGTAACAGTAAGCTTTTTACAGAGGTTATTTCAATGATCTGATTATGCCAGACATTTTTTTTAATGTCTCATCCACACAGATGATATTTACAGCCTGTATCGTCACCTAATATGTTTCTGATGTTGCTGATCCACTGTAGTGTCTGCTAATGGGTGTCTGGATGCCAAATGCACATGGAAATTATATGCAGATAAGGTTATGTATAATAAAAAGGTTTGCTTTTTATCCATTTATAGTTGCTTCCAGGAGGAGACGTGTGGGAAATAAAGCTTGTGCATTTACATGTAATATTCCACCAACTGAGATTTGGCCAGAATCTGGTCTTCGTAGGTTTTATTTTTTTATTATTATTTTTATTTTTTACACACATATATATATATATATATATATATATATACAAAATTCTCTAGCTAACACTCCTTAAGCACAATTTGTGTAGGAACAGGGTACCGCAGAAAAAGAAATGGGGGGGATTATTTGAAAAAAGAATAAATAATAATTTATAAATATTTATATTTAACATTTATTTGTTTTATTTGAATTCTGCTGTTTGTGTGCATGTACCTTTTAGACTGCGAGGTTTATGCAGAAGTCATGTATTGGGAGTGTTTTGGGACAGACATGGGACATACTACAACATAAATTTTGCATATTTATACCACTGATCCATTTGTTGCATACTATTGCGTTTGCCAAATTCTTTATTCACTTTTAAATTCACACATTTGGAAAAATAAAAAAATCATGGGAACTTTGACCATGCAGTCCATAATTCTACAACTATAAAATAAAATAAAAAAGAGAGCAATAACATGCTTTTCTATAGTGCAAGGGCTTGTGGGTAATATTAACCCAAAGACCTGGGTGAATTCTCTCCTTTTCTTTTCTTTTCTTTTCTTTTATTTTCTTATTTTATTTTCACATTTGCTATTTAGGACGGGTGGTATGCAAATAAGGATGAATCTGCAATGATGTATGTATGACAGAAAAAATAATTGCATGTTTATTTAAGCAAGTTGCATCCAGTTCTCATTTTGGAAATCTGTAGAAATGCACACTTTAAATGCATGTTTAACTAAATATGGCTTAAACTTTTAGTAAGCAAGAGGAAGTTAAGAATCATCATGATTGCTTCTTGTTTGAGCACATTGAATTGTGGGATATAGTGTCTATACTTCCCATTTTAACATTTGCAGTAGGTTTTTCATGAATACCATGCGTGTAAACTTTAGTAGTATTGTAGCGCTCTATTCCAAACAGCTTTTTGGAGACGGTTGATTCCAGTTTCTTGATTAAAAAGTGTCAAACAGCAGAAATGTTGCGGTTTTTGGTTCCTTTGGTTTGGTGTGCAGACAAACACTCTCTACTGTAAAGCTTAGTGTGGATTTGCATGATTTGAGCGTAAGGTGAGTGTGAAATAGACAGTCACGTGAGCGGCAGAACTGTGTGGTGTGATAAATCCTCGCAATCATTCCAGAGCTGCTGCTACATTCTTCAGGAGCAGCACGGATCAGCTTCACCTCACTCTCTCTCTTCAGTGACAGCCGTGCCAGTCGCCTGATGGATGAGTTTTGTAACTCGGCTGTTGAATGATGTAAGTTAGGACTGTAAATTTTATGATGCCTTTCTGACAGTTTGAGCAGAACAAGATGCTGCATGTACAAACAAAACTTGATTGAGTTTGACCTTCATGTCACATTATATTTCATCAGTTAAAGGGGACGTAAAGAACAAGGTTTTGATGGACAATTGTTGTCAAGAAGTCTTAAAGGTACAGCCACAAAAACAGCCTTTGAAAATGGTCGTTAAAAATCAAATGATGACTTTTCTTAGAGGAAACTTTGACTAACGTGAACTTCATGAGGGGGGAAAAAGGGAAAGAAAAAGCTGCAAGAGCGAAGAATAGGCTACACTGAAAAACAAATCAAAATAGTGTCTGAAGGTGGAAACACAAAGGCTCATGTGAAGTAAATCCATCAAAAGTGTTGTTTTGTGTGTGTTTTAAATGCTTTCTCCTCCTCTCTGTTTGTAGGGACCCATCGTGGGTGGGCGGCAGTACAGTTACGGTTGCTTCATGAGCTGGTTTATGCATCTCGTCGTATGGGGAACCCAGGACTGTCTGTCAGACATCTCTCTTTTCTACTGCAGACCATGCTGGACTTCCTCTCTGACCAGGGTAAGATATGGGGCGAATGCACAAATGCCCTCAAAGTTTACACATTTAGTTTTGAAGACCTCCTGTTGACTTTTATGACTCTTTTGCCATTTTTGCAACCGTTTTTTTGCCCTTCTTCGGTTCCTTAAAGGATTAGTTCACCTAAAAATGAAGATTTGCTAAAAATGTACTCACTAGATAAGTTTGATTCTTCATCAGAACAGATTTGAGAAATATAGCATTACATCACTTGCTCCCCAATGGATCCTCTGCAGTGAATGGGTGCCGTCAGAATGACAGTCTAAACAGCTGATAAAAAACATCGCAATAATCCACAAATGAACCACACAACTCCAGTCCATCAGTTAATGTCTTGTGAAGTGAAAAATCCTCTACCCATAATCCATTTTTCTCCAGTGAAAAAGTCGTCTTGTCTGAATCAGGAGAGAAATATGCACAGATCAGGCAAAAGAAAACCAATGCTGTCAGCTCATTTAGACACCCATCATATACCCAGAGAGATTCAGACAGACAGACGGCACTCATCTAAAAGAGATGAAAAGAAAGAGACAGTGAGGATAAAATGTTCACTAGAGTGCGTTTGTGTAGATTGATTCTGCTGCGGTGAGCACTTGTTATTGAATTTTCAGGCCTGTATTTTATGGAATCGTCATATTATACTTTCAGTCATACTCTTTTTAGAGGGTCATCTCTCTCTTTACACAGTGACTTATTTTACACTGTGTGTGAATTTAGAATGCAGGGTCGGGGAGGCTACTTTTAAAGTGTAGTTCACCAAGGTATTCAAAGTAAAGAAGTTAAATTACAATCAAGCTACTCTTTTGAAAAAAACAGCTGGCTAATAGTCTCTAACAAAAAGTACAACTGTTTTAAAGCTCCTTAAAAGGGTAATATGTTGAAAAAGACCACAATTATAATACAGTGAAATATATAATATAAAATATACTTTATAATTATAGTTTAATCTATTTTAATTATACTAACTAGTGATATTTTCTATTAATTAATTAATTATAGTTTAATGATAGTGAATGAAATTAATAACAGTTAAATAAACTAATAGTAATAACATTAATATTTTTTTAATTAATGAAATAAAAAGAGTGTATATTTAAAATATTAAAATATTTATTTGACATGTAATAAAGATGTTCACTGTTTTAGGAACAGTGTTGATTTAAAATAATTTGCATACATCTTTTTTTTTTTTTTTTAATAATTTTTCATTTTATCCTACAGTGTTTAAAAGAAGAGCTAGATTTGAAAAAAAACAAAAAACTGAACTACTAAAAATATGTGTTGGTTCCTATCATTTGTTGAGTTATGGATGTATGTGCTTACAGTATGTGTGTTCGCATGTGGCTCTGTGTGGTGTGTTACCTGGATTTTCCTGAAAGCCTCCATGTCTTTGAAAAGAGATTGATGTTGTTTTTTTGTTGTTCAGCCATGGCCCACTTCACAGCGTCCTGTCCCCACAGAGGTGTGCTGTAATCCTGTCTGCCTCACACACACACACACACACACACACACACGGTCGGGCCTGCAGCTCTTGGGTATTGAGCTCTGTCAAGCTTATCATTTCCTACCAGACAGAACAAATCCAGAGTTCCCTCGGCTGAGCTCAGGGATTGGTCGAATGCTGTTTTCAACACAGTGTCAGAGTAACAATGGCTCCCTATGTTCTGATAAAACCCATTTCTTCACTGCTCTGTCCTCTGAGAGCCAAACGAATCACTCTTATTTTGTCTAACGAGCAATGTGATCTGTTTTTGGGTGTTTAAATGGAATTTCGGGCCTTCTTTTGGAGTTTAAACAGGAGCATGAATGCTTCAAGTTGACGCCAGGCGTTATAATGACTTATACACTTATTAACTCAAATAAGCCTTTCTTTATGCATGTGGCATGTGTGAGAACGAAGGTATTTGCAGGTATTATTTCATTGATATTTCATTTAATAAAAAACAGCCTGAGAGAATGCTGAAATAAACCTTGAAGAAGAAATTCCTCTTCTTGTTAATGTTTAGTAGACGTCTAAATAAGATTATTTTACCTGCGTTATTCTGCTTCTTCTACATTCTCATTGGATTGGACTTTGTGTCCTCGCTAATGACTAAATGTGTAATATTAATCGTGATATTTTCCCCCTCCCACTCATGCTCCGTTTAGGTCTGGTTCCCACAATCCTGGATTTTTATGTTGTCCTAGGTGTCGCAAAGTTGTTTATTCTTCTTAGTAATGTCAAAAATGAAGGGAAAATTAACAGTTGCTTACAGGCTTCATTATAAGCTGCGCTTTTCTTGTGTTTACATCGCCAGATCGGTTATTGTTGCTCTATGATTTTATATATAATATAAAATTTAGATTTTTTGAAATAGTTGAAATGAAAAGTGTTAAGTCAGTCACTTGTGAACCCTTATGTTGTTCACTGAGGTATTACTTTATTTATTCTCAAATATTTGTTTTCATAGCTGTATTAATTTACATACATTTGATTTATTTTTAAAAATGTAATTTCATTATTTATTCTCATAATTTATTCTCTTTTTTATTTTCTATCATACATTTTTGATAAAAAATTTATTTAAACATTTAAAAAAATATTTTTTTAAATATATTATATATTTTGTTTTATTTCATTTTAATTGTTTTATGAATCAATAACAGTTTTCCGTGTTATTTCTGTATTGTTACAGGCACTTTCCATGAATAAGATAGAAAATAAGGGAGATGACCAAAATTAAATATTATATTAGCTGTTGTATGCAGTAGAGACAAGCTAGTATGGAACTGGTTTGTATATATTTATGAACTTTGCATAAATTAAAGAACAAAAATAGTTTGATAATTTTTTTATTCAGCAACTTTTTTTATTTATTTGTTTGTTTATTCCCAAATATTTGTTTTCATTAATGTATTTATTTACATATATTTAATTTCATTATTTATTCTCATACTTTATTCTCTTTTTTATTTATTCTCATAAATTTATGAGAAGAAAACAAATAAAAAAATGTGATTAAATAAATTTGCCATTTATTGCTGTAAATGAACAATTCAACATTTTTCATTGTTTTATGGCTGTAAGTCCAGAAGCTTTAGGAATACCACTCTGGTTTACAGCTCAAATTTACTCCTTTTTTAAGCTCCACAATTAATTTAGTCATTCTCGAGTGGAGTTTAAAAGTTTGATTCATTTTTTAGCAAGTCAATTTGTTTGAATAGTGTTTGTTTCAGTCAACCAATTAAAAAATGACTCCTTTGACTCCTTTTTTCCCCCAATATTAGTCGAATGCTGTTGGTTACATTATATATTGCTTATGGTTTTAATATCTTAGTTTTACTTTCAAGTGATGTATAACATTTTGCATGTAACGTATTAATAAGAACTGCTTTAGAACAGCAATTTGTTCATAAATCGGACATCACTATCACAGTGTTCTTTTGAATTGCAGTAAGCATCCCACTGTTGACATGATTGGTGTTTGATTGAGGAGAGCTGCTCAGTCCACCTGAATTAAAACTGTGTGCCATCTGAGAGCTGAGGTGAGGAGCGACCGTTTCAGTCGGTCTCCTGCCGCTTCTCTTGATTTTAATCGCCGAAAGCATCTGTGCAAGAGCAAAAGAACAGACAGTACAATCAGATGGCAGTCCGCCCCGTTACACACTACTGTATAATGACTAATGATTTCCAGCAGTTGTTAGAAACGGCCTCAACACAAAGACGCTGTACAGAAAGGAGGCGTCTGATTTAAACCCATCTGCTTGACATTGATCAGTGTCGATCCGGACTCTTGATGGGATAACAGAGCAGGAGATTCAGAGAGTTACTTTTAAGCACATGAGGGGTGCCGTCTTTTTCAGTCCTGACAGAATGATATTAGAAGAAAAGATGGGGATGTTTTATTCAAGGCAGAGCTTTGTAGTGAACAATTGCTCTGCCTACAGATAACAGGTGGATGCTTGTGTTATGAAGTAATTCATGCAGACAGAGAGAAAGAGGTGGAGAAACATATTTGCAGATGTGGCAGATACATGCTTCTAGAATCTAGATGGAAGAGAAAACGATGAGGTTATAGATAAGGGTAGAAAGAGAAGTTTGTGTGTTTTTTTTTTTTCCTTCTTAATTTTTTTTTATATTATGTTATTTAATTTTATGTTGTTTAATTTTGTTTGTTTTATATTTTTAATTTTTTTAATACATTTATATATATTTTTATTTTAGCCACTTTATGACTCCGTAACAATTTTCCATGCTATTTCTGAATTGTTACTGGCACTTTTCATAAATAAGATACAAAATAAGGCAGAAGAGACCAAAATTAGATATTATATTAGCTGTTGTATTATGCAGTAGAGACAAGCTAGTATGGAACTGGATTGTAGATATCAATTAACTTAAATAAACTTGAATAAATTAAAGTTTAAATTTATTTATTTATTTCAATGAACACTACTATTCAACAGTTTGGGGTCATTGCAATTAAAAAAACAAAAATTTACACTTTTATTCAACAAGAATGCAATGCATTGTTAAAGGTCCCCTGAAATGCTTAGAAACACGCAGCGTTACTCTGTGTTGACGTCATTTTAACTGAAACAGGAAGACAGGGTGGGACATATCAAGCAGCCCCGCCCCTTTTTAAAATAGCCTATAGCGTTCGTTTAGATCACAGCTTGGGCTAGAGCCATTCAGAGCCGTTGAGCTCCGTAAAGCCGCATTTGACAGGGCTATAAAATATAGCATTCTGTGTAGAATTCAAATAGCGATACATTTTGTGGTCTGCGCCGACTCGCTCATGTGATCTGCTCCGTGCTATTGTGTCTCTGGACCGGAGCAGAGTGTGTGTGCGGTGCGGTGGTTAGCGTGACACAGCGCCAAACCCGACTTCGGCGGGCGCTTTGGATTCTAGAGAGCATTTGATTGGACAGAAAGTTTGATGAGAAGCTGAAGTAAAAAAAATCGTTGAGCCGTTTTGGCGGAAGTGACGAACTGCAAGTTT